GTGTTATGCTCTTGAAAATTGTTACCTGAGTAGATATTAGAAATGTTCTCTTCACAAAAACAAAGTGGTAATTGTGTGAGATGATAGTAGTATTAGCTCATATTAAGGTGGTGATCACTTTGCAATATAGAAATGTGTCAAATCAACATGTCAACTACATCTTAATAAAAGTGGGAAAATACCTTTCTCTAACAATCAGTTCCTTAAAATATTGAAATCTCTTTGCAGTTGGGTCTGGAGGTTTTGTTGTGCTTGAGTTGCATAGATGCTACGTTGGTGAAGCCTAAGTAATTGATCAGAATTTAATTGTGGAATGTCCACAGTGCACAAAAGTGAGTAGTTGCTAGTACTCAATTCTTCAGTTGAAGTTTAATTATCTTGAAGGTAGACCTTCTGTTTGGTAGTTTCCTCATTTAATGGAGACTGACATCCTTACTTGGTGGGAAGGATGATCTCTGGACTGGAAAGACACTAGTGTCCCTCTTTTATCCATTGATTTTCCCTCAGAGAATCCAAACCTCCAGAGGGTGTCATAACTTTTGCTCTTCATATGGTTCTCAGTAAAGGCAACATTACTCTGTCTAAGCACAGAGGTCAGATTTTTTTTATAATTCTATAAAATAACTAATTTTAGTCTCATTAATTCAGTAAAAGAGTTTGTTTCTCAGTTGACACATACCTTTCAAGCCATTGCATGCAGTCTTTTGCCCCCTTTGCCTTCAGAAAATTGCTTTGTCAGAGATACCCCAAGTTCTGAATCATTCAGTTTTCTATCCTTATCCATCCAATTTTCTCTTACTTGACCTTACAGTGGTATTTGATAATTGTTGACTGCTCCTTATAACTCTTGTCAACTTTAGCAATACATTAATTCATTCAACTTCCACCTAATAGTTATTGTACATCTAGTAAATGTCAGGCAGAATGCTATGCATTGATGACATAACAATGAGCAAGACATGAATCTTGCTGCACCCCTGCCCCCCAACATGCAGACATTACACTCTATTGATAATATGCTTATTATATGAAGTTTAGTATTAGGTATACCTCTGTTATGGCCCAATCACAGTGTAAATTTAATTATAAAGTAGGAAACCATGAGAAAAAATAATGTGTCTAATTGTCTTGATAGCCTTAAGTATGGCACAGCTGTAGCTCTGTAAGCTTGATCATGTTTATGAAACATACTTAAATGAATACTTGGTTTCTATGAGTGAATGTTTATTCTTCACGCAAGGCATGATGCTAGAGGTTGATGCATAGGTATCAATAGGACAAGGTTCTTGACCTCATGAAATGCACAATGTGAAGTTGGATGGAAAGCAGATGAGGCCGAAGACATGTCAGGAATAAACAGTTCCATTTACAGCTGATCAACATTAGCATATAGGTTATTCATTTTTTTTAAAGAGGTGAATTAGCAGTAAATTAAAATTCTGAATCTTAACTTAGCTGCTAATGAATGCAGTATTTTGTTATAAGTTATGTCTCTTGAGGAAATGTATTCTTTCACATTCAAATGTCAAGCTGTCACAGAGCCTTGTGATAATCAGGAGATGAGCATTGTCTATATGTTTCAAGTGATTTACTCTAAGTAGAGGGTTTGCATCAATCGTAGGTGGAATCTTGCACCAATTATCTGAGCTGAATGACTTTCTTTGTGCTTTCTTTTGAGATTGTTTAAAAGGGAAGTCTTGGCTATTAATTCATAGCATATTTGCAAAAATTGAAGTGATCGTTCCCTAGTTTTAATTTTTCAAACTCTTAAGAATTTTTCTTCTTTGTAAAAATCTTGTATGGTTTAACAATTGTTAGGACAAATTTTTCTATTAGTTAATTGAATATTGTGGCTTGTGCAGATTTACATGTATGGCATTTGAGTATAATATTGAAAATAGTAAATTTATTAATAACATTTACCCTAACACCTGGTAGGCCTTAGTATCATGCTTTGAGAATTAACTATCATTGTGCCTTACAGTACAGAAGTGCTGCTTAAAGCAGTAAGAATTTCTAGTTGATAGAATGCTTTACCTACTGAGTTGTTTTTACTTGGTTGCCTCTGGTGAATTTACTTGTTTTTATTATCTGTTTTTTATAATTTTTAAAAATAAAGTAACTAGTTTACAACATTGTATATGAGTCAGAAATATGGATCCAACCTCTTTAGGTATATGCTGCCACCCCACACCCACCACTAAAGTGCCCACAATCCTCCACCACAGTCCCTGGGGCCCGGGAACCCACCCCTTTCTTTTCTGGCCTCTCACTCCCCACTCTAACCTAGATTCTGACATTGAAAGTAGAGCATAAGATTACTGTATTATATGTATATCTATTTTCTTTACTTAATAGCCTGAGGGCACATTCCATTTTATGAAAAATGGAAGTTAGACAAAATTCTCATTTTTTTCTTCTGTGCATAAAGACCCTAAGTTCTTTTTAGATATGACTCTAAAGTAAAGAAGCACTGATAGGAAAATATCAATCAACACTGATATTGAAGGGCCATAAATTTAATCTGTATGTATTAGAATTTTTTATTTACTATGTAGTGATTTGAGTGAGGACAATCTCAGCTAGTAATCAAGCAAAGAGAGTAGAGTTTTATAAAAGCAAAGAGAGAAGGGTGACTGGGTGGAAGAGAGAAACAGTAATGTTGAATTAAAGGGGAAATCACAAACAATGTTAGAGAGGATAGGGATAAGCACTCTATATTGGTTTAAGTACTTATAAAAGCAGTTTTAATGGAACAGAAGTCAAGTTGTAAAGAATATCGTCTATCTTGCTTTCTCTCTTCCACTCTAGAGAACTGGGCAGAAAATGCTATCAATATCAAATTCAATTGGCATTATTGTTAGTGAATGCAGAGTATGTTGAATGACAGTCTTTAACATGGAAATGTGAACTCAGTGGTGATGTTTTTATCTTAAGCAACTCAACTTGCCTTTAGCATCACATGTGTGAAACTGAAGTTAATATGAAATGTTTCCTTCTCATAAGGGACTTTGATTTTTTACTTTTCCTTTCAGATAGCTTTTTTTTTTTTTTAAGGTAGCATAGGTTTACAACACTGTATATGATTTAGGTGGATAGGTTCACACCTCCTCAGATGTGTGTCACCACACCACACCCACCAACACAGAACACTGACCCCCTTCTCCCTTTGTTCCCATCTGCACTTCCTCTGGTAGCCTCAATTCGACAGATTTCTAAGGTTTGTTTGGTTTAGTTTTCTCAGTTTGTTCTGTTTCTCTGTATCGCTCAGATGAGTGAAATCATCTGGTAAATTTCTTTCTCTTCTGACTTACTTCACGGGGCATCATCCCCTTGACTTCCATCCATGTTTCAACAGATGGCAAGAGTTCATCTTTTTGTAGCTGCGTAATACTCCATTGTCATTTCACATAGCTTGTAAGAACTTCTTTGGCAGACTGACCTCTTAACTTGGCTACTGGTGTGTTTAGTCTTCATAGTAAGCTTTTAAAATACTCAATGTGCTTTGATGCTATTAAAAAATATGTTGACTCTTTTTTTTTCCCCTCACTTCTGGATGAGGAGAATCCTTAGGGAATAATAAAGATAGGAACAGCAACTAAGCCATAGACAGTTAACCTGCTTATGCAGTCTAACAGGATACTAGCAAAGGGTCTATCTTTTTCTAGTCCTACCTGATCTTTAGTACCTCCTTATAAGGTGGAGTAGACTGGATGAGGAACATTGAATATGTAAATGACGTGTATTGATTTTGCCCAAAGGAAAAGCAATAGAATGACTCTGTGAAACTTTCTTTAATATATAGTCTCAAATCTTTTGTATTTGTTATATTCTTCATCTTTGGAGCACAAATTACCTCCATATTTATCTTCAGATTATCCTTACAGATGGAACTTATTAAGTCGCACGTGATTCTGGTTCGGATTAGTACATAATAAATTACGTGTGTATATATGTTTTATTATAATATCATTTTAAGATAGAGTTCCTCTTGCCACAGCCTCTGTGAAAATAAACCTAGAAAACTTAAAAGACAAACTCTAGCTGGTCAGATTCCTACTTCATTCTTGGCTGTTCTTACTTTTGTGAGTGAATAAATGTAAGTTATTTCACCATTCTGCCATTTTTAATTCCTTGTTTGGTCTCTCTCCCTGGTGTCTAATTTATTTGCATGACTTCCCCTGTTACTATCTTAAATCTTTCAGTTTATACCAGATAACCTCATACCTTTCCTTACTAATTTACCATAAATTCCTTCTCTGGTTGGTGTTTCCCATGTAAGATATGAATTGTGATAAGTTAGATGGTAATATTAGTTGGAGATAATATAGACACAACTTTATAGTTGCCTCGATAAAGATTCTTTAATAATGAGGGCAATCCCTAGAAAAAGATAGTATTTGTGATAATGACAGTGGTGAATAGCTGTATTAGCAGCATTAAAAAAGTCCATTCTCCAGGTGTTGGGGAAGAGAGGAATGAATAGGTGAAGCATAGATTTTTAGGGCAACAAAACTACTCTGGCTGATACTATAGTGGTAGACACATATAATTATGTATCTGTCAGAACTTAAGGATATACAACACCAAGAGTCAACCCTAATGTTATGTATGGACTTCAGGTGATAACATGTCAGTGTAGTTCCTTGGATTGTAAGAGTTGGCAGGGGGTGCGTGTATAGGGACAAGGGTATATGGAAAATACCTTTACGTTCTGCTCTGTTTTGCTGTGAACATAAAACTGCTCTAAAAAATTGTCTGTTGAAAAAAGATAAACCAAAAAATGTATTCTCATCACATTTTAGAAGCATCTACAAGATGAACTGAAATTTACTTTCTTATCTCAAAATGAATGATTAACATACTTGGGTAACTTGTAGGCCCAATGGAACTATCACTTCTTTCACTCACCAGCTACCTCATTTGATGAGTATTTAAAAATTTACATTTGATTATTTTATACTATAGTTCACTAACATTGGCTTCCCATTTACCTCTAGGTTTGAAGTTTGAGGAAATTCAAGAGAGATTTGGTGAGGAGTTCTTTAATATATGCTTTGATGAGAATGAGCGAGTCCTTCGAGCTGTGGGTGGCACATTGCAGGACTTTTTTAACGGCTTTGATGCCCTGTTGGAGCACATTAGAACTTCTTTTGGAAAACAGGCCACTCTGGAGTCTCCGTCGTTCTTGTGCAAAGAGCTCCCCGAAGGTGCACTTCTGCTCCACTACTTCCACCCTCACCCTGTGGTGGGCTTTGCAATGCTGGGCATGATCAAGGCCGCAGGAAAGAAGATCTACCGGCTGGACCTGGAAGTGGAACAGGTTGCAAATGAGAAACTGTGTTCTGATGGGTCAAACCCAGGCAATTGTAGCTGTCTGACTTTTCTTATCAAAGAATGCGAAAATAGTAATATCACGAAGAACCATCCCCGGGGGACCTCGCAGGTTCCCACGGACCTCAGAATTAGCATCAACACCTTCTGCAGAGCCTTCCCTTTCCACTTGATGTTCGATCCCAATATGTCAGTCCTTCAGCTGGGGGAAGGCCTGCGGAAGCAACTCCGATGTGACACTCACAAAGTGCTCAATTTTGAGGACTGCTTCGAAATTGTTTCTCCCAAGGTTAATGCCTCATTTGAAAGGGTCCTGCTCCGACTGTCCACCCCGTTTGTGATTAGAACCAAGCCTGAGGCTTCTGGTACTGAAAATAAAGACAAGGTAAGTGGTCATTGGTTTGAGATGGGTGAGGGAAGTGCATAGAAGGGTGTATAATTATTTCAGTAAATTGCATGCTGGCTGTACTTGTAATTATTTAGGCAAGAGAGCTTAAAGTGCCATTTAGGAAATTACTGGTCCCTGGATGTATGTAAAAAGATTTGGCCCTGTTCCCAGCCATTTTGCTTAGTGTCTGCCTCTTTCATTAATTTATTTCAGCATATGAAAGGAAGATATTTATTAATGCTAGCCATAGTAATTATAAAATTGATAGGACTCACTAAAAACTTAATACTGTAAACCGTGAAAATTCCCACTGATTGATGTTGGACTGTCACAGAAATGTTGACACTGAGACTGATTTCAATACTTGCTTGCCTTATCCTGAAATAAATATAGATAAAAAGCTAGCTATACTTTGAATATGTTCTTTTCCACATTTCATAACCTAGGAACAGCTGGTTTACATCCTATTTTTGTCTTAATATGGAGAATAATTTATTCCCTAAAAGTTGGAAATTAAGTTACTATTACAAGACTTCTCTTCACATTAAATTTTAGTATTGAACTAAAGACTCTCATTTTTAGAACAGAGTTACTCCTTGAGAGAATACAATGAGCACTGTATGGTGAATTTCTTTGAAGCCCCTTTGGGAAAATATGGGTTATAAATTATGAATAAATGATGAAAAGATACCAGAATGCATTTTAAAATAGTTGAGTTTAAGCAAGTATTTTCCTTCTTCTTTTTTTTTTTTTTGGAAAAAAGTCTACATTAAACAATAAAATTGTAAGGAAAAGTCAACCATGACAATTTTCAATTTAGTAATATACTTTTAGTGAATCAAGGGAAAAATAATTTTAATTTTGAGAGTAGACATTGGAATGTATATTCAGTTTCCACTAGAACTTCTTTTCTGTATTTTAATCAAGATAAGTGAAGTTTTTTTTAGGTTATTCCATTTGTTTCCAAGAATTTTGGGGAAACTGTTGGCATTTAGAAATGAGCAGGTTGCTTGAGATTAAAGGAAGGAAGAGTAGCAGAAACCTTTGAGAGCTCAGTGAGGGAGACTCATCTATACGTATTCTGCAGTGCCTGTGGCAGCCAACGGGTGAGGCAATAGTCTCCTGAAAGCAGAGCTTATTTTTGAGGACTTTATATAACATTACTTTCAAAATTGACTATTTTGAAATTGAATGGAAAATTTTTAAAAGAAAAATCTGAGAAGGATGGAATGATGCACGTTTCTTCAGTATGACTGAATTCAGTGACTTAGGAGAACATTCCATAAGTTTTTATGACTTAAATTTAGTGATATGAAAACATCTTAGGATAAACCTGAAGATTCTAATGTGGCACAATTGGATATCTTAGTCTGAATGAATTACTGTATCCCTTCTTCCTTTCACAATGAAGTTTTAAATAATACTCTTACATATGTATTTAATAATTATTTAACAATATTTTAACATTGTATATACATATTTAATAATTTAATAATTATTTAGTAATTGCCACCCATTTTGAAGTTTTTTAGAATGGAGTGAGTTGTTAAATGTGTTTTTGTCCATATCTGTAGGTGCTTTAAAAATGGAATTTCATCTACGTTTTTAATTTAGAGAACATTAAAACTGTTGACTTTATTTTATAGAAGTACAATATTTGGCTAGGAAGGTTCAAAGCATCTTTGGCACTTAGAATTGAAGGAAATATTCTTGAAAATGTACCTGAACTAGAGTATATTATTCCTAGCATTCATTGCCTTATATATTTTGCAGACTTGAGAAAAATTAATTCAATTTAAAATCACAGCCTCCGATTCCCCCTTGCCCCTCTATTTTTCATCTGGCTTGTATTTATGTTTGATTTATTACATACCAGGGTAAGAAATAGACATAATGAAATGATGACTCAAATGTCAAGGCCCCCTGCCAATTCCCGTAATAAGGAGCTGTCCTCATTGAGAAGATGCAATTATAATTTAAACATGTTAGTGGCAGTTTAAAAATATAGCATTAGGCAGGATTTTTAGCTAGAATAAAGATAGTAATCCTCCCAACCCTATATTTACATATTTCTTTATTCACCTGGGTTTGCCAGGATGGGACATTTGGAGGCTGTAGTTGGCTTAAATTGAAGCTGATGTACATTAATAAAGAAAGTTATGACATGGTGTTTTAACCAGATGAATAGCATTTTTGAATTATTATGTGACCAATTTCCACATTTGTGGTTTCTTAAAACATGGAAAGAAAATTTAAAAAAAGTTTCTGCTGATAAATTTTATCTTCCTATTCATTATTTTCCCCACAATGTCTGTTCTTATTGATAAATAACTCCATGTAGTCTGCAATCTCTAATATTTTGGTAGGTTTTGATAAGAAACAGCTCTTTTCAGATAGTTTGGGCTATTTATCCTCACTCTAACAGTGAAGGCTTTGTGGTAATTTACTGTTTTGGTTATGTGCTTAATACTGATGAACCTCTATCCTGACATTCCCCCACCTCACCGCCAAACATTCAATAGCGAATGAGACATGTGTAAATTGCAGAATGCACTGTTGTGCTTTTGCCAAACCTTCATCTTTTCATTTTGTCTTGTTAGTCCATGGTTACATGTTTGAACAGAGGTAGGATAGGGCATGTTTTTGAGAATTGAATGTGATACTATCAAAATAGAAAGCCATCATCCCATTTCTAAAGAATTTATGATTTGATGCTGCGGTAATGAGTGTTCAAGATGTTGGGCTTGGTCACCAGAAATGTGGATGTCCCTGAGAGGCATTAGGTGCAGCTGTTGGTGGCACACTTCCATGCAAAGGTTTTGGGGTCAGCAGGAACTATTCCAGGTGGCTTGACCAACTTTGGTTCCTATTACCTTGTTCCTTTTGCAGTTCCAGGCAATCGCTCATGCCTGACATATTGATCATGTCCATTTTCTCTTTGATCAGATGTCAAGCCTTAAATAGCAAGAGATTACTTTATTTAACCAAAAACAAATTCAGCATCGGGAATTGAATGAATGGGGAGTCCATATTAACTGTGTCTCTCTTGGGAACTTCAAATCACATAGGTCTTTTGAGGCATTCTAGTGAGTTTGAGAAAAAAAATTGGTGGCAGCCCAGTGGGCAGATTGGGGGTTCAAATTTAGTCATGTCAACCCACATCATTGACAGAGATTCCAAAGCTTCTTTGTATGGAAAGGACCATGTTTCTAGATAGAGCTCTTAGAAATTAGAGTATAATGGCACATGGTTCCCTTCTTTGTATTGTAAAGTCGTGGTGTGTTAGGGAAAGTGGCAATAAAGTGGGTGAGAGCTGTCTCTTCTGAAAACCACAATTTTAGTGAGTCCCTCTACTCTCTGAGCTTTAATTTCTTCTGGAAATTAAGGAAACTTGACTAATAATTAACATTTTTGCTTTTTTATATCCTTAATATACCTAAATTTATATGAGATCAGTTGATCGTGAAGCTTTGTGTGATCCCTAGGATTCTGTCAATTCAGGTCCATTTTCTGCCTCTCTTTTCAAAGATAAGCAGAAGGGAATCTGACATTGCAACCATGCGGAGCTCATCTTGTTATCAAGACTAAGCTAAAAGAATTCCCCAACAGTTTAGGTTGCTACTTAAGAAAATTTCTTGTGAAAATTAAGTGATCTAATCCACATGAAATTTAGATCTTCAGTCACCAGATTAAGCATCTGAAAAATGTTCATTATTATTGTTTCTTCCTACTCATAACATTCTTCCTGACCCTCTCTCCTTCTCACTTCTTGCCTGATAGAAGAAAGTACCAGTGATGAGTAGGTACATTTTAGAGTATAGTAAACTCAGCAAACACCTTCACAAAATATGACCTGGGCCCTGCTTCTTGTCTTCTTCATAAAGGCTATAAGACCAATTGTCACAGATTCTGTAGAAGCTGTTTTTAGATTTGCTTTTTGTTTATGTAGTTTCATTGCTTTAAAATCTCTAGTTTTCTTCTCACATTCACTAAAGTTTGGCATCAAGATTTTATTACATTTATCTTCTAATATCTTTTATGCTCACTTATTGGAGGTTTTTCAGGGCCAGTGGCTTCCACATTAAAATGGTATGGTTAGTTTATACACAACCTGAAATGGTAAGAGGTCTTGAGAAACAATAAATAACATGAGTTCTTCTGACTTTTTTTTTTCTCAGTAGCAACGCTTCAAAGAACTTTAATAACATCGTGAAAGGAGTCCAGCATTTGAAATACATCATCCCTGGGCCAGAACAGTAGCATTGTTATTCATCCTCACTTTTGTTCTCAGGGCTGGAACTCATGAAAAACATAACAACAACACATCCCTTTTTCATTCCCCAGAAATATCCTCACATTTGTCTTATTCATTAGATGCTGCAAAACAAATGCTGGGAAAAAAAATTTGCAGAGAAAAAAGGATTTTTCTGTGGTCAAATCAGTTTCTCAAAAGCTCCTTTATCTTTTCTGGCTATGAGCCCATCTTTTGCTGACATGATTGAATGTTTTAGATACATTTATTAATCTTACCACACCGTAATGAAACTGTTGACAGACAAGTTTCATCTGGCTGTCAAGAGCATATGATTCGATTCGATTTTAATTCAATTTGGGAAAATGCGAGCATTTCTTCTCTCTTCAGAGCAGAAGAAATTAAACTGGATGCCCCAGAAAGGAATCCTAGCACAAGGAATGGTACTGAAATACTAGAGCAGTGATATGTGTGTGTGTGTATTACAGTCTCTCAATGACTAATGATGTTAAATTCTCTATTAAAGAATTTAAAATATTGAACATTAATATTAGTGATGAACAAAATGACATTAAGGGCTTTTGGTATAAATTAGCATTCTAGAACATAGATATACCTTCATTTAAAAGTTTTCTTTGTTCCTTGTAATTACAAATGAGATCTTTACTTATAACTTTTGTGTTTATGTTTCTCTGGAACTGCTGCATGACAATAAACTGCCTTTTTAAAGTGGATTGTATGAATTGACGCTCTGATGTAGATATTACTGAGGTTTATACAGGTTTTATTTTTTCAAATGCATACAGTGCTATAAATTCTGTATAGATAATGTATTCTGTGTAGTCAGAAGGCATGATAGATAATTGCATGGTGAAATATATATTTCTCACAGTGATCTCCATATTTAAGTGAATGTAGTTCCATCTATTTTGTTAGCAGAAAGACCAAACTTACAAAAGAGGTGTTTCCTTTTGAAGACCAAACATTATTTAGTTCTTAGTTTACAGAATCTGAGGGAGGAAAATTAGTTCCTTTACTTAAAAATTTTGTGTGCAGAATCTTTCTTTTATTGCTCTTTCCATTTTTATTTTTATCTTAACTGGTAGTTTTTTTCTTCTTTTAACTGCGGTGACATTGGTTTACAAAATGAAAAAAAAAAATTAACTCTTACCAAATACGACAACATGTATGAAACTGGAGGGGATAATGCTAAGTGAAATAAGTCAGAAGAAGAAAAACAAATACTGGGTGGTATTGCTTATTTGTGGACTAAACGGTCAGACAGAACCAAACCAATCACAAACCTTAACAGGTAGCTTTAAGTCTCACTAAATTAAAAGCTGAAGAGTTGGTTTGAATTTATTGTCTATCCTCTCATTTTTAATGGTTCTCTCTGTATTCACATAAACTTTTTTTTGGGGGGGTAACTATGTAGTGTAGTGATTTTTTTTTTTGTGTGTGTGTCTACACACATAATTGTTCACGTTTCACAGTAAAGCAATTTAAAAACACTTCACCACCCTTCAGTCTCCAGTGACCATTTACATTAAGTCTTGCTCATTCTCCTGACCCAGGTAACCACTGGTCTACTTTTAACTCTATGGATTTGTTCTTTGTAGACATACCTTATAAATGTAATCATATATAAACTTTTTTTTCTGTCAAGCACAGTGTTTTTGAGGTTTATCCATGTTGTAGCATATCTCAGCAATTTATTCATTTTTAGTACTGAATAGTATGACATTGCAGTACCAGTTCACCCATTTGCCAGGTGATGTACTGTATGGTTTCCAGACTTTGGTTATTATAAATGATGATGCCATGAACATTTGCATATAAAAATTTGTGTTGAATATATTTCCATTACTCTTGAGCAGTATCCCAGGGCAGGGACTGCTGTGTTATATGATAAGAATGTTTAACTTACTAAGAAATTTCCGTGCTGTTAAACAAAAAGGCCATGTCTGCCAGTTCATACATTTTGGCCATCAGTTTGTGAGGGTTCACATTTCTTCACATTCTCACCAACACTGGCATTGTCACTCTTTTTGATCATAAACATCCCAGTATAAAGTATCTTGGGTTTTAAATTACAGTCCCTCAATGATTAGTGATGTTAAGCATCATTCCTTGCACTAATATTCCTTTCTGGAGCATCCAGTTTAATTTTTTCTTCTTTTTTTTTAAACCAACTTTTCTTCCCTTTAAAAAAACTAGAACTGTGTTTTTTTTTTCCTTTGGCCTTTATGCATCCACTTTTAATATCTGTTATTGTTATTTCTTGTATTAAGTGTTTTTATTAGAAAACCATTCATAAAAAATTTGGAAAATGCAGAACAAAAGGAAAAACATATATTTTTTTATTTTTGATACACCAAAATACTGAATACATTTGCACCTATTTCACTTTTTTCCTATAAATGTCATTACCTATGTAGTTGTTGAAAATTAAAGACATCTTTTTTGATATAGAAGGAATATGTGCTAATTTAGTCTTTACAATTTTTTTTTCAGATATTTTTAGTGGTTAGCTAACTTTTTTTCTGTGTCATATTTTCTGATTGCTGAATAGCAGTCTTACATATTTTGGTACATCTACTATCACTATTCTTGTTATTTCCTATCTAGTTTCTTATATAATATTCAATTTACTCTCCTATAAAAAACTATCTATGAAGAATCTGTTCAGAAACTTATGTAGAAATGTAAGTCTAGACATTATCAATCAGTCCTGTTTAAATCTTTCAGTATCTCCTCTTACCATTACCATCATACTTTTTGTTCATAGCTTAGGTTGAAATGACAGATGTATCTGAGTATATTTCTTCAGTGTCCATGTGGTAACCAAGAAGATTCAGCTGAACCCCAAAGCCCATATGTACCTTTAGACTTCTTTTATTCTCTGAGCAACAACAGAATTCTGTGGGCCAATGTAGCACCTCCAAGGTTAGAATAACATCATTAGATGTCAGTGTTGTTATGACGACAGCACAAGATGCATGGCCTTAGAGAACACACAGCAGTTATCTTTAACAACCTTCTTCTATTTTTCAAAGGAGGACTCTGTAGCCTGACTGTTACTTTATCAGTGTTTTAGAATAATAGCTGGGGAGGCTGTGGTTCTGTTTTCTGCCATATATATATATATTAATTTTATTTTTTTCATTTTTTACATCATTATTCATTTTTATTTTTATAAAGATTTATTTATTTATGCATAGAAGAACTGGGGTACAGGCCAGAAGTGTGGGGGGTGAGAAGATTCACCAGAGACAGAGTCAGGTACTGAACAGGTAGATTGACTGAAATACACTGCTGAGGGGAGCAGTGGGCGAGTCAGGAGAGGTCTGCTGTGCCATGTGGATATCTCCCTGGCCAGGGATCGAACTCTTGATGCAGTGGCTGTGGACAGCTTCATAGGTTGTGTCTTAACCCCTTGCACCACCAGGGAGGCCCCCATTGTTCATTTTTGAAAAATATTGGCTTCCCCCCATCAGGTGTAGTCCCCATACAATTTCCTTCACCAATGCACCCGTGCACCATCACCACAGTCCCCTGTGCTCCTCCCTCCCTCCCTCTTATCTTTTTCCCTCCTCCTGTGTATTTTGCCTTCTGTATACTCAAGACAGAAAAAAATACCAGAGATGTGGCAATATATACAATAGATATTCTCTTCTCTGTCTGCCCTATGATATTTTATTCTTCAGGGATTCTGAGATTGGGTATGATTGGGTTCCAGATGTCGGGTCACAACTTAGTTCTTGATTACTATCATTTTTAAATCATCACTTAATCCACATCATCTTTCTTTTTTTAAGGTGGGTTTTTTGATAGTGGCTAGTTATGATTCTTTTTTTTTTTTTGCTTTTTTTTTTTAGTTATTATAATTCTGATGGAGACATTTAGTTTCACATGAGTCTTGGTCAGCCCACTTTTCTTTCAAGCACGGAAGTACTACTGTGTGTGATTAGTAGTGTGGTCCCTAGAGCAGAACTTCCCAACTTAAAACTAAAAGCTGAATGACTTGATGATCAGTTTAACATTTTAAAAGGCCGTGTTTAGGGATTCTCTCTTGCCCTTTCCATTTTCCTTGCACAAAAAACTACCATCGTCTTCTGTGTTTACTATTTCTTCTGTTTTACTACCAAACTTACTTAGGATCACGTGGGTTATTTTCCTTATTTTTTTTTAATTTTTTTTTTTGGTGGGACCCTCGCCGGTGGCCGGGGATTGAACTGGCACTGCAGAGGCTGTGGGCAGCCTCACAGCCCAGCACTCAACCACTGCACCACCAGGGAAAGTCCTTTCCTTATCTTTTATCCTTAGTTTCAGTTAAACCCTGTGCTATTTGTTTAAATTAATCATTCTTTTTTTTTTTTTTTTTTTTTATAGAGGCATGTTTTTATTTATTTATTTATTTGTTCGTTTGTTTCGTTTATACATGCACTGGGTACAGTCAGAAGCGCGGGAGGGTGAGAGAATTCACCAGAGCCAGAGCAGGGAGCAGAGCAGGCAGAAGGACAGAAGTACACTGCTGAGGGGAGCAGCGGGCGGCAGGAGAGGTCTGCGCACCATGTGGGACCCTCCTCTGGTGGCCGGGGAGCAGCCGGGAATCGAACCGGCGCTGCAGAGGCTGCGGGCAGCTTCGCAACCCAGCGCTCAACCGCTGCGCCACCGGGGAGGCCCTAAATTAATCATTCTTAATGTAGTTTAATACTTTTTTGTTTAAAGATTAATTTATTTATGCATACAAGAGCCTATCTGTAGGCCAGAGATGTGTGGGGTGGGGTGAGAGGATTCACCAGAGACAGAGTGGGGAGCAGAACAGGCAGATCTACTGAAATACACTATGAGGGGAGCAGCAGGCAAGACAGGAGAGGTTGCTGTGCCATGAGGGTTAGCTCCCTGGTGGGGGTACAAACTAGTGCTGCAGTGGCTGCCCATACTTTCATGGTACTGAGACTTAACCCCTTGCGCCATCAGGGAGGCCCCAGTGTGGTTTAATGTTTAAGAAGTGTGTATGTGTGTGTATGGAACTTTGAAAGATACAGCTTTTCAATATTTGAAGCACTGTACTAAGTGTCTTGCATGAAAATACTCATCAGGAAGACGTGGAAACTAATTTAAAATCTTTGAATAGCTATCAAATCAAAGAGGGTTACTTTGTATTCTATTTGGTTTCAGAAGAGAAGCTCAGGATCAAAGAATGTATTGATAAGGAAGTAGATTTGGTTTAGTATTAAGAGGAACTTTCCAGGAAATAGAGATTTTCAAAAAGGGGTGAACTGTTTCATGAGATTGTGAGCCATACCATATTTGGGCATTCAAAAAGATACTGTGAATAACAACAAGTTTTGCAAGAATCAGGATGGCCAAAAAGAATTATAGCTTTTAAAAACCTGTCCTATTCTAAAAAATTATAACCTTTTCAGATTAAACAAATCCACTATAAATATGAAACAATAATGAAATTTTTCCTCATAAATACACAGGAAATCTATAATATGGGTACTACTCTTATTCACTGAAGTCGAATTATAAATACAATGTGATCACTTACCTTTGGCCATCCTGATTCTTGCAAAACTTGTTGATTTGTGCCCTTCAAAATTCAACTCAAAATGTTTGCGATGTCACCTTATTGAGTTCCAAGTTCCGTTGAACAAGTTCTGCTCTTTAAGACGCAGTGAAAACTTGATTCTTGTGATCTATTATGAATAAATGTAGTAAAGGCTGTCTTTAAAATATTTTCCACTTGCAGGAGTACCTTATTAAAAAGCTATTTTTATGCTTTTAGCATCAATGAAATTAAAGCTTTAGGAGAGGTTGAGATAGTGAATTGTTAATAGTGTTCTTTAGTTAATTAGTGTTCTTTAGTTGTTAGACAATATAAAGCCAGCATTTACATTTTGAGCATATTGGTGATTAAAGACTTGAATTTGTTATTATATAGATGTTTCACTTGTCAAAAATATAATCTAGAACCTTTGGTGTTTCATTATTTTGTGAGGAAATGAGTAGAGTTCCCTACATTTTTTTTTTTTTGATAAGAATCAAAGTTTTTATTTAGAATGCTATGATGGACTTGGTGTTTTCACTTTTCCTTAGCTGAAGGTGGTGTGAATAGTTTTCTTGACGGTTCATGGGAGCACAAATATATTGGGGGAGACCAGCAGAGAAGGGTAGTCTGCTCTGTGCCTTTTAGGAACTTTTTCTGTACTGTGAATGTTGCAATTTAAAAATTAAAAAAAAAAATTCTTACATTGTTGTTCATTTTTGTAGTTGTATTTGGTTTCTCCCCTCAGATGTAGTCCCCTCAGTTAGTTCTCCCACCATCATAACCCCTGTGAATCAGCACCTAGTCCCTTGTGTTCTTCTCTCTCCTGTTTTGACCCTTCTCACTCTCCCTCCCTTAATCTATGTATGCCTCTGATCTGTGATCAGCTTGCAAGCTTTTTCTTTCTTTTATGGGGGGCTTTTGTTTGGTTTCTTTATTGTGAATTTTTTGTGTGAAACTATATACATGCTATTTTATAAATAACATTTACATGCTATGTAAAGTCAAATAAAAGTCTTGTGACATTAGAGTCCTTAGTATCCCCATCTATTTATAGAAAGAAATAGCATCTACTTTTACAATTTTTGTATTCTGTTTCTCTATTATTCTTCTGTTTCTATGGGAATATGTATTTCATAGATTTCCCATTCATAAATAGATACTTTTGGAAAGTTTTAATTTTTGTGATAAGATCACTCAATATAAGACCTACCCTGTAACAGATGTTAAAATGTAGCATAGAATATTGTTAATCAAGGAAATTGCTACATAGCAAATCTCTGGGACTTATTCATTTTGCTTTACTGAAAACTTATTCCTCTAGACATGACTTAACACTTGAATTCATAGGATTTTTTAAACTTGAATTTTACACTGCTAAATTACAGACGAGAATGAATAACTTTGTCTCCACATGAGAAAAAAATGACTCCAGTTATATATCCTTGACTGGGGTCACTGGACACTATAAAAATGTGTTTAATTTTCTTGAGATCATCTTGGATACTGTACATATAGTTTGGTCTAGTTAGCTTTCACCAGACTTTTCACCAGACTGCTTTGAAGAGAACACTGTTTACAGTGTGACCTTGTGAATGCTGCCAATATTCAGTTTATAAGACTCCTTCTCACCACTATCACATAACAATTTAAAGTAATTTAATTAAAAAAATCTGCTTGAGAGTTTTCTCAACATCTAAATATAGAGTGTAACGGGTTGAGCACAGTGCTTTGAATCTGTCTGCAGCCTCTGCAGCACTGGTTCGATTCCTGGCCAGTGAGGTAGATTCCCACATGGCGAGGCAGACCTCTCCTGTCTCTCCTACTGCTCCCCTCAGCAGTGTACTTTGGTCCTTCTGCCTGTTTTGCTCCCTGCTCTGTCTCTGGTGAATTCTCTAACTCTCCCACACCTCTGGCCGGTACCCCGGTGCTTGTATAAATAAATCTTTAAAAAAAATAAAAAATATATAGAATGTATGTAGATCTGCATTATTTCCCTTAACCACTAATTTGATAATTACAAAGGAAATAAATGATTAAGTGGGTCAGGTTTGAAATGTTTTTAATTTATTTATTTATGCATACAAGAACTGGGGTATAGGCCAGAGGCGTGGGAGGTGAGAGGATTCACCAGAGACAGAGTGGGGAACGGAACAGGCAGATTGACTGAAATATACTGCTGAGGGGAGCAGCGGGCAAGTCAGGAGAGGTCTGCTGTGCCATGTGGGTAGCTCCCTGGCCTGGGATCAAACTCGTACTACAGTGACTGCAGATAGCTTCATAGGTTGCGGCTTAACTCCTTGCACCACCAG